ATGAGTCAGCCAAATATACCCCTTGGGATTCAGAGAAGATGTTGGGATAGAAACCCAGTCTCTACAGTTATAGAAAGATCAAAGTAACTGAAACAAAGAGAAAAAAATACTTCAAGACACTGAGATCAAAAAAGACATCTGTCATCAGGCGAAGAAAGTTAGGCAGTACACTGGGATGCCACTGAAGCTAGTGGGATGTGGTTCAGGAGTAAAAAGGTAAAAGCCAGATGTGGGAGAAAGAAAGATAGACTATGAAATAGACTGGTATCAGTCTGCCAGAGCATAGGTATAAGGAAACAACGGGCTAGTAGGAGGACTGAAAAAGATAGATAGGGATCTGCAGCGGGAACTGAGAGGTGCTGGTGCAGGGATTTGAAATGTTTTCCTGGGTAAATTAGAACGTGGAACAGAGGTCTTAAAAATGGTTGAGGAGACTGGGACTTCAGTAAATGACTGGACTGGAGAGTTAAAATTTTGACAGAAACAGTCAGGAGGTAACAGAGCAAGAAGTATGCAAAACTCACCAGAGTAGCTAAAAAGAAACCAAACTTCCTGAGTCCCACCATCTTTTATCTGTGCAAAACCAACTATCAAAGCATCATGTTCCCTGCCAGCGTGATACCATACAGAGAAAAAAAGCTATCACTTAATCTGTTATTAAATTGAGAGAGTTGAAGTGCTGGAACTAGATGTCCCAGTCTTTCTATGTATGTATGTGACTGTAAGATACATCCTGATCCCATAGGATGGGATTTTTCTTTTTGAAGAAACAAATTCAAAAAGTGTATGCACAAAAAGAAGTCAGAAGAATTATGGGATTGGGATGTAAAGCACTATCCTGTTATATATGTAACTTTAATTCATCTTGTTTGTGCTTGTACTTTAAGATCAAGTGTTTAAGGATTAAAAAAGAAGCAATATTTATATTGTCTTGATCTTTATATAATGAAGTATTGCACTGGGAAAACAGAACCTATCTATAAAAGTTTCTGGACTGTTGTGAACTAGTTCAGAAAATAAAAAAAGCTTTTCCTTTGGAAGTACATGCAGGGAACACAGTCGTGTCCCCAAGATACTGAGGAGAGGATTGACCTGTGACTAGTACACATGATGTTTTTCTGTCTTTAATACCACTGTTTCACAACTCTGGACGTGGACAGGAAAATGCAGCCCCCACAGCCTTCCTGCTTTGAGTGGTTCTTGCAGTTCATAAGGCATAACTTCTGAGTCAGGTAGAGAAGATCTGAAGGGCAGAGTTGTGGCACAGAGTATGAAACTCATTGTAATTGGAGTCATATCTGGGATTCACAACAGGGGCAAAAAATCCTTTTATGCTTTATGCCAGAAGATCTTCTTCAAGAAAACCTGACAACTTCAAAGATGTCAGTGCAAAGTTGTTGAACTTCACACACATTGTTAGATAAAGATCACTGTTCTAGAAAGTATTGCAGATAACTCAGTCTTGCCATCCACCTTCACTTTCTTGTTATTTAGATAGCTCTTTCTATAACATTTGTGCTGTATGGATACATATAAAATTGATTTTTTCCTTGTACCAGAAGTACAAGGGTATTTACTAAAAAATATCTGCATATTTTAAAATTACATACATTGTAATACATAACCACACAGGTGCCTTATTCTTCTCCCAGACAGCTTGTAACCATTGTAAACTAGAGGAGTGTGAGAAGAACATGAGATCATTTTTCCTTTCAGAAGTGCTTTAGGATTTTTAATGGCCACAAAGTACATAGGACTTCATCTTAACATTTATGCTGAGAATGTCTTGCAGCCTTATGGATAAAATGGGAATAGATAAATGGTTCTCCTGACACACATAAACTCCAGATTAAACACAGTTTGAAAATCAGGTGCACTGAGGTAATGTTCCAAAACAGGTTCAAAGCCAGTCACCCTTGCAGGTGTTGAATACCTGCGGCCTCTTTGCTCCTTGTGCTTTATTTCCTGTTTCTTACCAAATATGCACTCTGACAGTTCATTTCAACATCTCTAACAAGTATTATTCCACAAAAAAAACCCACAACCTTTTAAATTTCCTGACTTCCGAAAACTTCATTCCAGTAAGAGGAAGAAAGAGAAAAATAATTTAAACCTCAACATTTTCCATGAATACCAGCATAATATTTTCTTTTTTCTACCAGCTGAATCCACTCTTTATTCTTAGCTGTCATCTCCCCTTCCTGATGTGTCTAGCATAACAGAGAGAAAGTTTTTGTCTGATAATACGGTTGCTATGACTAGTGCTGCTTCCTTTCAGATGAGATATTCTAGCCTGCTTTGTTCTCCACAGTTTTGCCTTCTGTTGCATATAGTGCAGATTGGTCTTTCATCTCAGTCCCTATTGTTTGGCAAATTGTTGATTTTGTTGTTTTAATGGTCATCTTAATAGCCAAACTGCTCTAGGAAAATATTTAAGAGAAAATGAATGAATCTGTAGACAAATAGTGCCACCCAGAAAATTACATGGGCTGTCACCTCAAAGAATATTACTTGCTTTTCCATAGCTGTTTAGAGGGCATATTTACTCAGAAGATGCTCAGACCCCTTCTTTTAACTATGATGAAATTGGTGGAGCTTTTCTTTAAATCTATGAGGCAATCTAGACTTTAAACAGCTGAAAGTGCACAACTGGTTAAGATACATTAAGAAGTTTGAATCACATGCAACTCTTTCAGACTAATTTATGCTTTTCTAACTTCCCATCATGTATTTTTTTCAGTTAAAGGATATAAAACATATAGAATATTGAACACTAAGACATCAGTAACTAACAATTGCATATCATTTCTTTTTCTGCTTGGACTTGTCAGCATTTGGATACAGGTAGGTTCTTCCAGAAAATAAGAGCGTGGCCAGATTTCCAATAAATAAATACGAATCTTTATACTCAAATAGCTGGAAAGCAAGCTGAATACAGAGAATCAAATATATCCTCAGGTAAATGAGAGCCAAGGAAGAGATTTCAGGACTGAAAGATGAAAACTGATAGAAATAAGTGATCTTAAAATGCCAGAAATGCTGCATGGAGAGGTTTCCAGCTTAATCTTCTCAGTATGTCAACTGGATTACTGGAACACATTTCTCTCCTTAAAGCAAAATCCCTTCTTGCCAAAACCCCTCATATTCAAGTGGAGCTTCCTTCTGAGTACGAATGGGTCCCTCTGAGACATCAGTAATACTGGGACAGAGTTCATTTTTTTCCCTGGGCAAGAACCAGCTAAACCGGTTCATAAAAAGTGACCCTGGGAGCATTTCTGCAGTTTGTCGGTGTAAAGGGTCAACAAGTGAAATAGTGAGACTGAAATGCATGGGGATTTGATAATATTTCTGGTCTTCTAACTGTAGATGGGCATTTGGACACCCAAGTTGTTATTTCATGGTTGAAAAAAGGTAGACATGGATATTTTAAAATGGCATAGGATTCAATATTACACTGAGTGTAGTGCATGGAGAAACCACCGTGAGATGATTTTTCCCATGTAGTTGCAAATATAGGATCAGTAGCTAAAGCACTTGCATCTCCTAGGAGGGTTTGTGAAATAAAAATTCTCACTGAAGAGTGGTTATATACACAAATGATTCTGCTGTCGTACGAAAAACTGCTCTAAAATATGATTAAAGGCTTGCTATCTGGTTGCAAGAGAGTATGGTTTTCAACAGAATATTGACTTCAGTGGGGCTATTTTCATAGGCTACCGCCAGGGAAAAAGGTTCCCACTTCAGTCTTTGTTCAGGAAAGTTTTGA